GTGTCACCAAGTGTGCGAGAGCGAGAGAGATAGCTAATGGGCAGGGGTCTTTCAAGTTGGGTTTCTTCACCTTCTTCTATACCTATTATTCTTAGGCATATAATATTGTCCCATATTTCCTGGATATTTTGTGTTAGAGATTTGTTGGACTTATGATTTTTTTTTTTTTTTGGTCGATGAATCTATTTCTCATAGTATCTTCAATGCCTAAGATTCTCTCTTCTCTCTTCCATCTCTTGTATTCTGTTGGTTATGCTTGCATCTGTAGTTCCTGATCTTTTACACATCTTTTCTAATTCCAGAATTCCCTCAGACTGTGTTTTATTCATTGTCTCTATATCTTTTTTCAAACCTTGCCCTGTTTGAATTGTTTCTTGCAATTTTTGGTTTGTCTTTTCTTCCATTTGTTTGAAGGATTTTCTCATTTCCTATCTTAGGGTCTCTATCATCTGCAGGAAGTTGATTTTAAGTTCACTTTCTTCTGTTTTATCTGTGTTTGGATATTCATGTCTTGCTGTCATAGAGTTTCTAGACTCTGGTTGTGTCATATTGGTTTTTCTGTTGTTGGATATGTTCTTATATTGTCATCTTCCAGTCTCTTCTTCCAGTGGGTGAAGGTGGTGTCTCTTCCTCTCCTGGTGTGTATGGGTCTAAGGTTCTCTTCTAGTGGGTGCAAGAGGGTCAGATATTTGATGGGTCTCACATTGGTTGCAGAAAGGTCTGAGGCAATGCCTATCCAGGTTGTTGGAAATGGGACTAGGACAGCAATGTCAGCAGACTTGTGGTTGCTTGGTCCTCAGTGGTTGAGTTGACCTGCCTGCAGACCCCAGGATAGGAGTTCCCAGTGTGGGCAGGCAGAAGTTGGGCCCAAGGCAGGGCCTGAAACTCTCCTCTCTGCCCTGGGTGGGGGTGGGAGTATCCTAGCGATTTCAGCAGACTCAGCCCCTCCACCATTTTTAACCATCCAACTCTCCTCACCTACTCAGTAAGTGTTCTGCATTTCTGTGACACCATTTTGGGGCACACACAATGTGGGCACCTCCCCAATGCAACCTTCAGGCCCCACAATATGGAAAATTCTACTTACTAAGACACTTGCTCCTTTCACTATATTGAAGCACCCCCTTTTTCTAAAAGCCTCTCCCAGTGCACAATTCCATTTGTTTTCTCCTCTGCCTGCTCTAATCACTTTCTCTAGCCTTCTCCTGGGTAAGGGTCACTATGGAGTTCCCTACTTAGTCTGCTTTTAGTACAAAAGCTGCATGGGGATGCCAAGGAAAATTCTGTCACCCTACTGAGTCTTTCTTCTGTGATTTGAGAAATTTCTCTCCAACAAGTCTCTCAGTCTGCTTGGAGATGCCCCAGACTTACATTCTTGTTACCACAACACTTACTCTGTTCCCTCATGGCTCCTCTCAGCTCCCTCCTGGAGCTTTCTCACCCCTCTTTAGGAGCTTTCCACTAAAGTCTATGGCTTCTCTACATGTCCCTAGGTCTGCAAATCTTTCCCAGCCCCCTTCCCCTCAGGAATACCTGTTTTTTCTCTCCTTGTGCCCTGCTGGGCCTGTACATTTTGAGTTTCCTTACCTCTCCCTAGGAGTTGCCTGATGAGTCTCACAGCCTATGCCATAGTGGCTTCTATGATATTGGAACCCTCTCTCAGGTGGTGTTTCTGTTTGTTCATCCTTGTCTCTTATGACTACACTTCTTTGTCTCTTAGCTGCCTAACCAGACCTCCCTGTGGTGGAGTTCTTTTTTCGATGCTTCCTTTCTGAAACTCAAACATTTTATTAAAGCCTTGCTGTCTTACAGAAAACAGATGATGGCCAAAGACAGCATGCTTGAGTTCCAAATTCTTGCAGGTTCTAATAACTTCTGCCATTGTACAAGAAAATGAGTCCAAAGTCTCTTATCTCTAAAGTTCTACAACTTCCCACACTTAAACATTTTTTCTCTATGACCTCTCTGTACTTTGCTCTCAAGAAAGAAATTTTTTATGACTATTGTCTATAGTCTTTATCTAGGGATTAATTTGTAAAATCATTCTGTGTGGTTAAAGAACTTGTACAATCTGTAACAAAATTTGACCTAAAAGAACAACAGGCTTATAGATAAAATCAACACATGGGTATATATGAGAGTCAACTTTTGTCTAGAATATACTGTGTATGTAACTTAGATTCAACTCTTGTTTTAAAAATAGGTCTATTAGGAAAACAGACGTTTTAAATAGTAACCATGTGGCTCTCATCCACGTTGGCTGATGACTTTATTAAGACAAAGAAGCCACATGACTGGCAGCCATATATACTAAGGTTAAAGGATACAGGCCATGTGATGTCCGCATGTTAAGATGATCATGTAGTATTAAGCAACAATTATATAAACTTCTCAGTTCTACTTAGCCCTTAGTTTACCATTGTATCTCTTTTTAGACTAAGCAAGCAACAGGATTTCAAAATGTTTTGAATTAGTATGTATTTGTGTATGCTGCTAAAAATTTAAGGTTATAAACATCTACTCAGATTAACAAAGGTTATTTTAAGATTTATGTGTAACTATTAGATGTCTTTGCTAACTGTCCTACACCAATCTTCTAGAAAATTTAGATCCACACCAAACTTAAAAACATATCTTGCAAGTTTCAGGCCATTGACTTGAATCCATCACTCACGGATTAAATGTACCTCAGATAAGTACTGTCAACCAATAGCCTGTTTCCCCTCCTGCCTATTCCTGAATGTGGGATTTCTTCCCCTCCCCTTGTCTTTGGACTCTTCTCCCACAACCATCAGACACATGGGCCTGAAATATTGAAATGTATACCCTGAATAATAAATTTTCCCTTAAACTCCTAACTTTAACTTCTCTCCTAGTCTATCTGTTCCAAAAGATTTCAAATCCACTGAAGACTGTTCTACCAACTTTCCATCTCTAGGCATCCCCTTGCAATCTGTAGTCTAGATGATTCTAAAGTGTCTAGCCACAGGTGCTCCAGCTGCAAAGACTGGTTCAACTAGGCCTGTACTTCCCTAATCCCAAGAAGGTCCCACAGAATGTGGACGGTGAATGAAACAGCTTGCTCTTTAAAGACTTGGCCAACATTTTACAGTCCCAAACAATGATGGCACAATGTCGGTAGAAAGTAGTCATACAAGGTTACTTCAACCCTTATATTTTTTTATTATCAACAAAAGGGTAGGATGTTAAGTTTCAAACCCAGGACAAATGGCTGAGATGCTTACTTATCATATCAAAGTGGGAAGTTCTTCCAGTATTGCCCAGTCCCTACCTGTTGCAAGGCATACCTGGGATAATCTGCCCTCTACCTTAAACTCTCCAACCTAGGGGCCTAGGTTTTCCCTCCTCCAAAAGGGTCTTTTCTATATAATGCAGACATTTTGGTTACCTGCCCCGTTTGTATCTATTACCTACTGGCTGCTGCAATTGAGTCCCCTTTCTATCTTCTCCCTTTCCCTACCCCCCTCCTCACTTGGCTGAGGATCGTGGCCACTCTGGATTCTCCCATATGTGTCTGTCTGTGGCTATGATCTCCCACCTATCTATAATAAACTTTCTCCTTCATCATAAAAATATTGCTTTAGAATCAAACAAATGTGAACAGTATGAGGATTGCTCTTCTCTCTCATATATTCCTGTTATTCATCCTTAAGATGTGTTTATGAAAAATATCACATAATATTCCATCATCATTAACCAGTTTTCACCTAAAAGAAGTATCTCCTGAGGACATATACAGAAGAACTAGTATATAATCCAGCAATTCCTCAGTGGTTTATCTGCACAAAAGACTTGCAACTAAGGACTCAAAAATATGTTTGTATACTCACATTCATGATAACATTATTCACAACAGCAAAAAGATAGAAGTTTAATAATTTTCAGTCACTAGGTAGATTAATCAATGAAGGTAGAAAAATTTTGAATCATTTACAACATAGATAAAACTTCAGGATAATATGCTGAGTAAAATAAGCCTGCCACACAAAGACATTTAAATAATATAAGGTCCTATCTACATCAGGAATATAGAGTAGTTAATCCATAGAAACAGAAAGAAAGATAATTGGTACCAGGTATTGGAAGAAGTATAAATGGAAGTAATGTAATTACTAAGCAAGAAATCCTAATTGGAGTTGGAGAGATGTAAAGCATTTATCTGATTAAACTTTATCAATAAAATATCAGTATTCAGATATCAGAGTAAGAACCAAAAAGATCAGAAAAGCAGAGAGCAACTACCAGTCACCTCTTATTTTTTCTGTTCCTCCATTCAAAAAGAGGTGATATCCCTTCTCAGCCCTGCCTTACTACTTCATGTCTCCTTTCTTTCTATAGTCCTCCAAACTTCCATGATTAAATTTGGTCAGCTGGTGACTAGCACAACCACCTGACTTCAAGAAAGCTTTATTTGTCATAATGCAATCAAAATATCACACAACATTTCCCCCTTTTGTCTAAATAAAAAGCAAAAGATTTGCCTAACATAGTAAAACTGTATACAATAAGTAAAATAACTATATACAAATATATAAGGCAAGAATTATATTAAGAATATCTAGTCCATTTTCATTTTAAAAATTGTATTCTAACTTCATAAGTCCAAAGTGTTGTACCTAATTCACAATGTAAAATATTTAAGACTTGCAGTTGCTTCTTTGGTTTAAAAGTAGATTCAATAATCTACCATTTTATCCTATTATTTCTATATCCCCCCTTTTTATTTTCAGAACATAATCCCTGAATCTAATCTCATTTGTTCAATCTTTTTTTCATGACCATTACCAATAACAACTTGTAACCAACCCTCTTATCTTGGACATATGGGTATCGTGTTCTTAAATTTACTTCCTATTTTCTGGGGGCAACAGCCTCTTTAGGGGACTCTGAAAAAAACTGAGATAATTGTCAAGTCCTGGAAGAGCCAGCTATATCATTTGTTGTCCAGTCTCTTTGTAAAGGGAACGTGCAAGGATTACCTCAAGTCCTGGTGAGAGCAGTCTGTGGGTCTGGACCATCTCAGCTAGCAACATTGAAATTGTCCCAAGAAGTCTGTAGTACAAAGAGCTAACCATCTGAAAGGCAGACACAGGGAATGGTGAGAAAGCAGTGCATGTGAAGAACAGCAAGTGAAAGCACAGAGCTACCTAAAGGCAGAGCTGGCCAGTGGTGAGGGCCTAACTATGTATTTCAAACACAAGTACCTGGGAAATTTGGCGCCTGTGGAGACTGTTGCAGAGATGCTGCAACAGGAAAATCCCAGAGTTGCTCTGTTATGGTAAATCTTTCTGCCAAAGCCAACAGAGCCCCTCTGACACTTGTGTGCTCTACGCCAGCCACCCACCCGATTTATGGCCCAAATGAATACACAGAAAATTGTATTCGGTTCAAATGCTGCTTGGCCAATCACTAGGATCTCTCATCTGCTAGCTCAGTCTTAATTATCATAAATCTATATATGTTATAAGACTTATCTTTATAGAGGATTTCTTTTGCTGGCACCCTCTCTTGCCGGTGGCTCACATGGTGCTACTGGAGGAGGAAACGTGGAGGGGAGCACAACCCTTCCTCTTTCTCCTTGCTTCAATGAGTCTCCTTGATATGTCACTTCCTGCCTGGATCACCACTTCTCTACTACATTTCCCAGAATCCTCTTTGATTCCTACTCCTGTCTAACTTGCTGTCTCATTGGCCAAACAAGTTCTTTATTCAATAATCAATAAGATAAACATACACAATACATTCCCCATCACTTGCTCCGAGGGATTAGGTAAGAAAATGAAATGAAAGCTGCAGGTACAGCTCTCACATGCAGCTCCAGTGGATACTAGTGACTGCTAAGCAAAAGACGAGCAGTTAGCTCATGAATTCATGCCCCCAAAGTTGGATGCCAAATGAAGCATTAATCTAATTAATCTTTATCAATAAAAAATCAGGAGTCAGACATTGGGGTAAGAACCTGAAAGATCAGGGAATCTGAAAGCAGCCACCAGTAGGCTCTTAACTCTTCCATTCCTCCACCCAAAATGGGGCAAGATCCTATCTCAGCCCTGCCTTACTACTTCCTGTCTCCTCTCTGGCTACAATCCTCCAAACCTCTGTGGTTAATTTTGGTCAACTGTTGGCTAGTACAGACCTCTAAATCCAAGCAAGCTTTATTGGTCAAAACACAGCAAAATATCACACAACACAGATGGCTCAGCCCTTTAGAGCATATACTGCTCCCACAAGGGACAGTAGTTCTGTTCCCATCACCCATATGGCAACTCACATATGCTGTTAACTTCAGTTCCAGGGGACCCAAATACCCTCTTCTTATGTCTGTGAATACTGCAATCAAAGAGGCAATTTCATACATATCTAATAATTTTAATAATAATTTAAAATTTTAATATAAAAAGAGAACAGCTAATTGAATTTAAACATAAAGCAGCATTTTATCTCTATATTGTTTTAATTGGAATAGTTCCTCCTCAGGATCGTATTGAAAATTCTAAGAAATCTAATGTCTTCTAGAGTCATGATAATGAAATATATGTGGTTATCTGTTGCTTTTAATCCTCCAAACGCAATCATATTCCAGTATTTGTCATATAGTCCCACATGATAATTTTTTAAATGTTTCATTTTACTTGAAAATTTAGTCTTATACTCTGCTTAAGTTTGAGCTTACTTCATGTGAATAACAATTTATTGCTTCTTGGAGTTTCTAAATACTCACCTTCACTTTGCACTTATTCTGTGTTTATAACCTGATTGAATATTGAGGAAATTAAAGAAATAGATTGAGCATGAAAGCTATTTTCTTCTTAATGGTTTAATAATCTAGCTCCAGCACCCTTGGATTGGATATTTAATTAAATCTGACTTTTCCCCCCATGGGAACTGTGATAAACTAATGCAAAAAAGAATTTCCCTGATTCTCCATGCTGCTCTTGTCTATCACCTTAGCCAACCTTTTCCTCTAAGACAGGGGTTGTCTATATAATTTGTTCAGGTCAATGAAATAATCACAATTATTATAGAAATAGTATGCTTAAAAGATGTATGTTTAAGCCGGGCGTTGGTGGCACATGCCTTTAATCCCAGCACTCGGGAGGGAGAGGCAGGCAGATCTCTGTGAGTTTGAGGCCAGCCTGGTCTCCAGAGCGAGTGCCAGGATAGTCTCCAAAGCTACACAGAGAAACCCTGTCTCGAAAAAAATAAAAAACAAAAGCAAAAAAAGATGCATGTTTAAAGAGTTTTCTTCACTTTTGCATCTGTCACTGAGGTATTCTAAGTTTACTAGTGGACAATAGACTTGTCACTTTCAGCCATAAGCAGCTGAGAGTCACCAGATCCTTGAAAATGGATTTGAGCTAAACCATGGGGATCAGAGTCACCTTGCTGACAACCTTAAATACGCAACCCATAAAGTTACTGCTTGTAAATTGATTGTTACTATTTTTTATGTGATGTAATAATAAGAGAAAACAGAAAGGGATTGGCTCCACTTCCAATGTGGTTCATATAATGATAGGGAATTTGATCACATTTTTCTCATCAATGAAAAAAATCATGTGTTTTTATTCTAAAAAAAATTGCCTTTCTTTAATTTTGTAGGTGGTATACACCTTGACATTTTTATAAGTCATATAATTCTGTGATGCAAAAAAGTTTCAGGAGCTTCCCTATTTATGTAGATGGTATATTGCTTTCTCTATGTTAATGATCCACATCTGTGGTACAGGATTCATGAAAGTTTTACAAAACTGGAATACAATCTAGCTACTCCACATAGGTGTCTGTATTGCTATTACTTTGAGTGAAATACCAGTTCCATGTGTGTATGAAATCGCTATGAATATATTTTAATTTCACTCAACATCCATTTAAAGTCCATTTGTTTTGAAGTAGGATTTAGAATAAATACAGTTTTCATCTTTTAAGCAAGGGAGCTCATACCACTATTCTTTCCAAATAAATCTAAAAATATATAAGCAAAACATGAGAGGCATCTATGATTCTAATTGAGATTAGCAGGTGTTATTTTCATACCCCTCTCATTTGATGCATAAGTTAGGAAGAGTAAATGTCTTCTGTTTCTGTTACATTAAAGAATTTTCACATTTTGGTCTAATAAATCACCCTGCAATGTGTTTCAAACAACAATTTCATATTGAGACTTCCATTTATTATGATATATTTCATGGGCATGTATATATTCTAGAAAATAAGTATGAACACTGCCATTTATCCAGAAGAAATTATTCTCTCAGAAAAAATAGCACTTATCTTGAACCTTGAATCATTGAAGCACTTCTCCCTAACTGTTCTTCATTAAGAAAGAATTCAAAAGATAATAGATTTTTGTGCATCTCATTTAATCATTGCTGTGCACATGTTGCTTTTTATTTAAGCACCTTAAATTATGTACTGATCAATGGCTAGACTTTGATGATTCATGTACAACAAGCAACATGTCTCATTAAGGCCTAAAATTAATCCCACAATCTCTGGGCATAGTGTGCAATATCAGTACAAGCACATGTTTATGATAGCTATTATGATGGTAATAATGATGACAATGACAACAAGGATTCTATGATTTTATTAAAACACATTTTTTTCATTTCAAACTAAATGATTCAGAGTCAATAAATATGGAAATTAGATATTGGAAGTATCAACACTTTTGTGACAGAGGTGGAAAAAAGAAAAACCTTTAAGCTAAAATCTATTTGTGTTCTTTTCCTTCAACATCATGACAAAAAAAACCAATAAAAATAAATTTTCCTGCTTATTTATGTAAGATACATTAAAATGTTGCAGATGAAACTCTGAGGGATATTTGGAGCTTCATTTATTATAGTTAGCCTTCAAAATCAAGAATGAGTCATTCTAACTTTTTATGAATTTAAGAATAACATGAAAAGAAGCAAATAACTTGCCAGAAATTTGCTCAATTAAAATCATTATCTTTCTTGTATGTAATTAAAAATTGCTCAAGTAGGAAGAGGGTGATTCTATAGAACCATCATGTAATAAAACTTTCTTCAGTAATAGAAATAATTATATTCTTCTCCAGCCACATGTGTCTCCTCAGTATTTCAAATGTGGCTAATGTACCCGAAGAAGTAAACTTTGTTTACTTACTATTTTACATGTGACTACTGGCTACTACACTGGACAGTGAAATTCTAAACTTGTAATTATTATTGTATAAAGGAGCTAACATTCTATGAGTAGATATGTGTGTGCATACTTGTGTTGAAGCCACAGGAGAACAGTTTGACAGTTTTTCATAAAATGCAACATGAAGCTGTCACTTGACCAGTACCTATCTATCCTAGAAAAACAAGTACTTATATTCAAAGACCTACACATGAAAACTCATAGCAAAATAACTCATAATGGTGTACACTGAAATAAATGTTAATTAACTTACAAATATATGGACAAAATACGGTGCATGGATACAGTGAAATACTCTACAAAAATTAAAAAGGAACAAACTACTTACAGATGAAATTTCAGGGGTAATCCTCAAAATTATTTTGCATGTAGCAAGAAACAAAGTAAAGGGACAACATACATGAATAGTATTCTAAATTTTCCCCATAAAGAGTATATTTTACTAATTCACAATACACAAGGAATTTCAATAATGATGTAGCATCAAATAAAAACTGACTAACAAGGGGCTAAAATGCTCAACAGAAAAGAGTATTTGCTGCCCAGCCTGAAGACCTGGATCTAATCCTAGGGACCCACATGGTAGAAGGTGAGAACTGACTCCCACAAGTTTTATTCTGACCTCCACTTGCAAAGTGTGGTATGTGAACTGTCAGACACAATAGTTTTGAGCTAGGAATAGAGATAGAATGAATGATGGAAATATTCTAAACTTGACATACAATGGTTTCACATTACATAAATACTTTATTATTTTGACTAAGTCATAAGTGCCAAGTTATTTGGTTTAGTGTTGTTTCTGCATACATTTGTGTAGATTTTTTTGGGGGGAGGGTTCAAAACAGGGTTTCTCTGTATTGTTTTGGAGGCTGTCCTGGAACTCGATCTGTAGAACAGGCTGGCCTTGAACTCACAGAGATCCACCTGCCTCTGCCCCTTGAGTTCTGGGATTAAAGGAATGTGCCACCAACACCAGGCTTATGTAGATATTTTTAATAGATTAATATTTGTCTATGTAGTTTCTCCTAACTCTGTCTCTCTCACTTTCACAATTTCTCCGACAACAAGTTATAATATGATGGTTCATTTCCCTTTGAACTAGGACTTAGACTATATCTGACTCTCCTTATTCTCAACCTGTCAATCTTACACTCAGTTTGTATCAATGACTCTCTTGATCCTGGGACTTCTAAGGCTCCATAGTCACAAAAGGAATTTACATATTTAAAATGCTTAAAGCAATCATGTAAATATATTTTAGAAGTATATCAATATTATTTATG